CAAATCTTCGCGAATTTTCGCGTATTTTCGCCTTTTTTTTTCCGATTTTTCCCATTTTTTTTTTAAATTTTTAACCAAATTCCGCAGAATTTTCAGGATTCTCCCCCAAATCCAGGTCCCACCTGTAGGAGACGCTGTCGGAGCAGGGCTGGTGGGCGCGCACGATGATGAAGACGTGCTGGAAGTGCGAGCGGACGCTCTGCGGCGTGAAGGGCAGCGCGCCCGGCTCCTGGAAGATGATGGTGACGATGTCGTTGCCGATGTGGCGCTTCCGGAGAAGCTGGAAAAGGAAAAATTTTTTGGGAATTTCGATGGTTTGGGAATAAAAATCCATTGGGAATGGGTGGGATGAAGATTTGGGGTGGTTTTGAGGGAGTTTTGGGGTTGTTTGGGTCTTTTGGGGGGTTTTGGTTTTTGGGGTTGGTCAACGAAAGTTTGGGATCTTCCAATCTTTGGGATCTTCCAAATCTTGGAACCAACCAACCCTTGGGGCCACCAAACCCTTGAGATCCTCCAACTCTTGGATCTCCCACCCAACCCTTGGGATCATCCAATTTTTGGGATTCTCCCAAGTCTTGGGATCAACCAAGGATCTTCCAAATCTTGGAACCACCCAACCCTTGGGATCTTTCAACTCTTGGATCTCCCAACCAACCCTTGGGATTCTCCAAATTTTGGGATCCTCCAGTTCTTGGGACCACCCAACCCTTGGGATCCTCCAACTCTTGGATCTCCCAACCAACCCTTGGGATCATCCAATCTTTGGGATCTTCCAAATCTTGGAATCAACCAAGCTTTGGGATCCTCCAACTCTTGGATCTCCCAACCAACCCTTGGGATTCTCCAAGTCCTGAGATCTTCCAACCAACTCTTGGAACCATCCAATCCTTGGGATTCTCCAAATTTTGGGGCCACCAAACCCTTGAGATCTCCAACTCTTGGAATCCTCCAACTCTTGAGATCATCCAATCTTTGGGATCATCCAAATCTTGGAACCAACCAAGCTTTGGGATCCTCCAACTCTTGGATCTCCCAACCAACCCTTGGGATCATCCAATTTTTGGGATCTTCCAATTCTTGGGATCTCCCAAATCTTGGGATCCTCCAACTCTTGGATCTCCCAACCAACCCTTGGGATCATCCAATCTTTGGGATCTTCCAACTCTTGAAACCACCCAACCCTTGGGATCCTCCAACTCTTGGATCTCCCAACCAACCCTTGGGATCCTCCAAATCTTGGGATCTCCCAAATCTTGGAATCCTTCAACCCTTGGAATCCTTCAACCAACCTTTGGGATTCTCCAAATTTTGGGATCCTCCAGTTCTTGGAACCACCCAACCCTTGGGATCCTCCAACTCTTGGATCTCCCAACCAACCTTTGGGATCATCCAATTTTTGGGATCTTCCAAATCTTGGAACCACCCAAGCTTTGGGATTCTCCAACTCTTGGATCTCCCAACCAACCCTTGGGATCATCCAATTTTTTGGATCTCCCAAATCTTGGAATCCTTCAACCCTTGGGATCCCCCAACCTTTGGAATCCCCCAACTCTTGGAACAACCCCAACCCTTGGGAATCTCCACCTCTTGGGACCACCAAACCCTTGAGATCTCCAACTCTTGGAATCCTTCAACCCTTGGGATCCTCCAACTCTTGGGATCCTCCAACTTTTGGGACCACCCAACCTTTGGGATCTCCCAACTCTTGGAATCCTTCAAACCTTTGAGTTCCCCCAACTCCTGGGACCACCCAACCCTTGGGATCTCCCAACTCTTGGGATCTCCCAACTTCTGGGATCTCCCAACCCTTGGGATCTCCCAACTTTTGGAATCCTTCAACCCTTGGATCCCTCAACCAACCTTTGGGATCATCCAATCTTTGTGATCGTCCAACTCTTGGAACCACCCAACCCTTGGGATCATCCAAATCTTGGAACCACCAAACTCTTGGATGTCCCAACCAACCCTTGGGATTCTCCAAATTTTGGGATCATCCAACCCTTGGGATCACCCAACCTTTGGAATCCCCCAACTCTTGGAACAACCCCAACCCTTGGGAATCTCCAGCTCTTGGGACCACCCAACCCTTGGGATCTCCCAACCCTTGAGATCCTCCAACTTTTGGGATCTCCCAACCCTTGGGACCTCCCAACTTCTGGGATCTCCCAACCTTTGGGACCTCCCAACTTTTGGAATCCTTCAACTTTTGGGATCTCCCAACTCTTGGGATCTCCCAACTTCTGGGATCTCCCAACCCTTGGGACCTCCCAACGTTGGGAGCTGCCGATCTCCATGGGTTCCAGGGAAGGTTCTGGAGGTACCTGCTGGCGGTTGTTGGGCGTGTAGGGCAGCATGGTGGACACGTGGAACATGATCTCGTAGTCCTGGTACGTGGTGTAGAGCGAGTGCGTGCCCGTGGAGTCGGCTGGGAAAACGGCAAAGGGGAGACGGTGAAATCCCAAAAAATGGATTGGGTGGAATCCCAAAATATGGATTTGGTGAAATGCCAAAAATCAGATTTGGTGGAATCCCAAAAATCAGATCTGGAGAAACCCCAAAATATGGATTTGGTGGAATCCCGAAAAATTGATCAGGTGGAATCCCAAAAATCAGATCTGGGGGAACCCCAAAAATTGATTTGATGGAATCCCAAAAAATGGAGCTGGTGGAACCCCAAAAAATTGATCAGGTGGAATCCCAAAAAACGGATTTGGGTGGAATCCCAAAAAATTGATTGGATGGAATCCTGAAAAATGGAGCTGGTGGAACCCCAAGAAATGGATTTGGTGGAATCCCAAAAAATGGATTTGGTGGAATCCAGAAAAATTGATCAGGTGGAATCCCAAAAATCAGATCTGGGGGAACCCCAAGAAATGGATTTGGTGGAATCCCAAAAATTGATCAGGTGTAATCCTGAAAAATTGATTGGGTGGAATCCCAAAAAATGGATCAGGTGGAATGCCAAAAAATGGATTGGGTGGAATCCCGAAAATCAGATCTGGGGGAATCCCAAGAAATGGATTTGGTGGAATCCCGAAAAATTGACTGGGTGTAATCCTGAAAAATTGATCAGGAGGAACCCCAAAAAATGGATTGGGTGGAATCCCGAAAAATTGATCAGGTGGAATCCCAAAAAATGGATTTGGGGGAATCCTGAAAATCAGATCTGGGGGAACCCCAAAAAATGGATTTGGTGGAATCCCCAAAAATGGATGCGATGAAATCCCGGCATCCCAAAATTCCCTCCTGGTGTCCAACGGGACCACCCAACCCTTGGGATCGTCCCTCAACCTTGGGATCACCCAAGCTCTGGGATCCCTCAATTTTTGGGATCCTCCAACTTCTGGGACCACCCAACCTTTGAGATCCTTCAACTCTTGGGATTCCCCAACTCTTGGAATCCTTCAACTTCTCAGATCTCCCAACCCTTGAGATCCTTCAACTTTTGGAATCCTTCAACCAATTCTTGGGATCCTTCAACCCTTGACATCTCCCAACTCTTGAGATCCCCCAACTTTTGGGATCCCTCAACCTTTGAGATTCCCCAAACTCCTCAACCTCTGGGATCCTCCAATTTCTGGGACCATCCAACCCTTGGGATCCCTCAACTTCTGGGATCCTCCAGTTCTTGGAATCCTTCAACTTTCGGGATCCTTCAACTTTTCAGATCTCCCAACCCTTGGGATCCCCCAAATTCTGGGACCACCCAGATTCTTGAGCTCCTTCAACCCTTGAGATCCTCCAACTCTTGGGATTCCCCAACTCTTGAGATCCTTCAACCTTTGGATCCTCCAACTCTTGGGATCCTTCAACCTTTGGGATCCTCCAGTTCTTGAGATCCTTCAACCCCTGGAATCCTTCAACCTTTGGGATCCCCCAAATTCTGGGACCGTCCAACCCTTGAGATTCTTCCACCTTTGGGATCCTTCAACTTCTGGAACCACCCAACCCTTGAGATCCCCCAACCCTTGGGATTCTTCAACCTTTGAGATCCTCCAGTTCTTGGAATCCTTCAACCCTTGGGATCCTTCAACCTTTGGGATCCTCCAACTTCTGGGACCATTCAACCTTTGGGATCCTCCAACCCTTGGGATCCCTCAACTTTTTGGATCTCCCAATTCTTGGAACCTCCCAACCCTTGGGATCCTTCAACTTTTCAGATCTCCCAATTCTTGGGATCCTCCAACCTTTGGGATCCTTCAACTTCTGGGACCACCCAACCCTTGGGATCCTTCAACCAACTCTTGAGATTGTTCAACCCTTGAGATCCCCCAACCCTTGGGATCCTTCAACCCTTGGGATCCTCCAGTTCTTGAGATCCTTCAACCCTTGGAATCCCTCAACTTTTGGGATCCTCCAACTCTTGGAATCCTTCAACTTCTCAGATCTCCCAGCCCTTGGGATCCTCCAACCTTTGGGATCCTTCAACCAATTCTTGAGATCCTTCAACCCTTGACATCTCTCAACCCTTGAGATCCCCCAAACTCCTCAACCTCTGGGATCCTCCAATTTCTGGGACCATCCAACCCTTGGGATCCTTCAACCTTTGGGATCTCCCAATTCTTGGAATCCTTCAACTTTCGGAATCCTTCAACTTTTGAGACCACCCAACTTTTGGGATCTCCCAACTCTTGGAATCCTCCAACTTCTCAAATCTCCCAACTCTTGGGATCCTTCAACCTTTGGGATCCTCCAACCTTTGGGATCCCCCAAATTCTGGGACCAACCAATTTCTTGAGATCCTTCAACTTTTGGGATCTCCCAAATTTTGGGATCCTTCAACCCTTGAGATCCTCCAACTCTTGGGATCCTTCAACCCTTGGGATCCTTCAACTACTGGGACCACCCAACCATTGAGATCCTTCAACCAAAGCTTGAGATCCTTCAACCCTTGGGATTCTTCCACCTTTGGGATCCTTCAACCAATTCTTGAGATCCTTCAACTTTTGGGACCACCCAACTTTTGGGATCTCCCAGCCCTTGGAATCCTTCACCTTTTGGGCTCTCCTGGTGAATCCCCCATCCCCAGCCCCCCAGACTCACTCTTGGTGTCGAGCTGGGCCGCGTACTTGCTGAAGGATTTGAGCGTCACCTTCTCACCCAGGAGGTTCCAACTCTTGGAATCCTTCAACCTTTGGAATCCTCCAACTTCTGGGACCATCTAACCCTGAAGAATCCCAAGGGTTGCAGGTCCCAAAAGTTCAAGGATCCCAAGGGTTGGCTGAAAGATCTCAAGGGTTGGATGGTCCCAAAAGTTGGGGGATCCAAAGGGTTGAAGGATCCCCCAACTTTTGGAATCCTCCAACTTCTGGGACCATCCAACCCTTGAGATCTTTCAACCAAAGCTTGAGATCCTTCAACCCTTGGGATCCTTCAACCTTTGGGATTCCTTAAATTCTGGGACCACCCAACCCTTGAGATCCCCCAGTTCTTGGAATCCTTCAACCCTTGACATCCCTCAACTCTTGAGATCCTTCAACCTTTGGGATCCTTCAACTTTTGGGACCTCCCAACCCTTGGTATCCTTCAACCAACTCTTGAGATCGTTCAACCCTTGAGATCCCCCAACTTTTGGGATCCTTCAACTTTTCAGTTCTCCCAACTCTTGGGATCCTCCAACCCTTGGGATCCCCCAAACCTTTGGAATCCTTCAACTTCTGGGATCCTTCAACCAATTCTTGAGATCCTTCAACCCTTGACATCTCTCTACCTTTGAGATCCCCCCAAACTCCTCAACCTCTGGGATCCTCCAATTTCTGGTACCATCCAACCCTTGGGATCCTTCAACCAAAGTCTTGAGATCCTTCAGCCCTTGGGATCCTTCAACTCTTGGGATCCTTCAACCTTTGAGATCCTCCAGTTCTTGAGATCCTTCAACCCTTGGGATCCCTCAACTTCTGGGACCACCCAACCCTTGAGATCCTTCAACTCTTGGGATTCCTCAGCTCTTGAGATCCTTCAACTTTTGGGATCCTCCAACTCTTGGGATCCTTCAACCTTTGGGATCTCCAAACCCTTGGGATCCTCCAACTTTTGGAATTCTCCAACCAATTCTTGAGATCCTTCAACCCTTGACATCTCTCAACCCTTGAGATCCCCCAACCCTTGGGATCCCTCAACCTTTGAGATTCCCCCAAACTCCTCAACCTCTGGGATCCTCCAATTTCTGGGACCATCCAACCCTTGAGATCCTTCAACTTTTGGGATCTTCCAGTTCTTGGAATCCTTCAACCCTTGGAATCCTTGAACTTTTGGGATCTCCCAGTTCTTGGAACCTCCCAACCCTTGGGATCCTTCAACCAACTCTTGAGATCCTTCAACCCTTGAGATCCCCCAACCCTTGGGATCCTTCAACTTTTCAGATCTCCCAACTCTTGGGATCCTCCAACCCTTGGGATCCCCCAAACCTTTGGAATCCTTCAACCAATTCTTGAGATCCTTCAACCCTTGACATCTCTCAACCTTTGAGATCCCCCCAAACTCCTCAACCTTTGGGATCCTCCAATTTCTGGGACCATCCAACCCTTGGGATCCTTCAACTTTTGGGATCTCCCAATTCTTGGAACCTCCCAACCTTTGGGATCCTTCAACCAACTCTTGAGATCCTTCAACCCTTGGGACCCCTCAACTTTTGGCATCTCCCAACCCTTGGGATCCTTCAACTTTTCAGATCTCCTAACTCTTGGGATCCTCCAACCGTTGGGATCCTTCAACTTCTGGAACCACCCAACCCTTGAGATCCTTCAACCCTTGAGATCCTCCAGTTCTTGGAATCCTTCAACTCTTGGGATCCCTCAACTTTTGGGACCACCCAACTCTTGGAATCCTTCAACCCTTTGGATCTCCTGGTGCAATCCCATATCTTGGGGACAATCCCAGATCCTGAGAAGACCCCAAGAAGATCCTGAGAAGATCCCCAGCCCCCCAGACTCACTCTTGGTGTCGAGCTGGGCCGCGTACTCGCTGAAGGATTTGAGCGTCACCTTCTCGCCCAGGAGGTCCCAACTCTTGGAACCCTTCAACCCTTGAGATCCTCCAACTCTTGGGATTCCCCAACTCTTGGGAACCTTCAACCCTTGAGATCCTCCAACTTCTGGGACCATCCAACCTTTGGGATCCTTCAACTTTTGGGATCCCTCAACCCTTGGGATCCCCCAAACTCCTCAACCTTTGGGATCCTCCAATTTCTGGGACCATCCAACCCTTGGGATCCTTCAACCTTTGGGATCTCCCAATTCTTGGGATCCTTCAACTTTTGGGACCACCCAACTTTTGGGATCTCCCAACCCTTGAGATCCTTCAACCCTTGGGATTCCCCAACTCTTGAGATCCTCCAACTTTTCAGATCTCCCAACCCTTGGGATCCTCCAACCTTTGGGATCCCCCAAATTCTGGGACCACCCAAATTCTTGGGATCCTTCAACT